TATCTTGCTACGATTGAGTTGAGCCCGGGATGTGATGGGGGCCCGAGCCGGGATGTGTCAATTTGGTATTAGAGTTAATCCCTGGCCGGAAATGTGCCAACGATGACATCGGGGCCCTAAGGGGGGTTGGATTGTAACATCCCACATCGCCCAGGGGAGTAGATCATGTAAGCCTTATATGTATATTCCCATCTCTATATAGCACGAGGCCTTTCGGGAGTTTACTGGCTTTGGGTTCCATCGGAACTCCGAAGTTAAGCGAGTTCGCGCGAGAGCAATCCCATGATGGGTGACCCACTGGGAAGTTCTCGTATGAGTTCCCAGAAACAAAATCGTGAGGGTGTGGTCGGGACCCAAAGTGGACAATATCGTGCTACGGTGGAGTCGAGTCCGAGATGTGGTGGGGGCCCAGGACGGGATGTGACATAAATGGTTTACCTATATGAACGTATAGTAGTACTATATACACATATATACGTTCAAATGTATATATTACTACCAGAAGCTCAATATATATATACACACACACACACACATACATTTTACCTATATGAACGTATAGTAGTACTACATATATATATATATATATATATATATAGCTTACCTATACATATACATGCACAATACTACATATATGATCAAACATATTAAACTAATTAATCTACCTATATTTAAATTTATGATGAGCAAATGAAATAACATTCTTTTATTTTGTATGTAATTTATTTTCCATGTATTATTACATATATTTGACACATTTTATTATTATAAGATATATGTACAAATAATAGGTAAATTAATCTTGAATAAAATACAATTGCTTTATTTTGTAAATAAATTAATTTTGAATCAAATAACATTTCTTCATTATGTTGGTATTTTATTTTGTATGTATCATGTTACACCCACCCCTAATTTAAATTGTATTTTCACTAAGTTTGTGATTATCTTGCTTTTAAAATGGTTTTTAATTCTTAATTGGTGTGCCCAAGGGGCCCACCTTTGTTTTGCGCCCCCATTCAGGACTTAGGATCAAGGCACCTAATCCCAGCGTCAAGGCATTTCCGTAGCAGCATCTTCGGATCCTCTCGATGTAGGACTCACTCCTTTATTCATTTAATTTTAAGGAAAACTAATGAAAATGACTTGAAAACTTTGAGTTTTAATGATAAAGACAAAATAAAAGGTAAAGTGAATAGTAACAGGTTTGACTTTTTAGTGTAAAAATATGGTTTTTCGTTAAAGTGAACAGTACCGTGGACTTTTCGTTAAAACTCCCTTAATTTTATCTTAATTCTTTTTAGTGATTAGGTATAGTTGTATGCTCTGAACACGTTCCTAAATTATTAATTCATTGTTTTTAAATTCATAACCCTTATTTACTTCTTATTCTCAGCTTTTGTATCAATTAATGGCTTTCGTCACCTTCGGGTGTCGGCCAGCACGTGTCTATCCGGGTATTCGGAGAATATCAGGGTCGGGGCATGTCAGATTGGTATCAGAGCGTGATTTGTTTAGAGCATACTTAGGATCCTATTCAATTCTCATTTAGTGTCGGTTTTGACATCATTTGGATGTCAGGACTTATAGATTTGGTGTCATTCGGCGCAATTGTGCAAACCTTTCTCTGTTTGAATTGTCACCTTCTTGTTGAAATTCAAGAATTCGTGTCGGGATTGTACCTTAATAGTGATGAAGAGGATTGTTGGACGACTTTCAACATAGGATGATACTCTGCGACATGCGTTCCCTGGGAATGATGGGCAGAGTCATATCTCTTGGAAATTGCTCGAAATATTCGGAGTGCGTGTTAGAGAAAGCGGCAAATGCTAATTGTTGTGAAGTCTAATAAGTGGTGATTGGTGGGATGAAAGCAATTTTATCAGATTCATTACCACTGAAGAAATTCGTGTAAATATTTAGAACAAGTCCTCGACGATTATTCTATCGATAACCTTTTTTATTTCTCTAGCGACGAAGTCAAGTTCCTTATCCTTTGACCGTCAGCTTTACACCAAATTCTTCGAGTGTTGACTTCATTTGCATTAATTGCTTTTCTCGGGAAACTCCTTAGTAACATACTATTCTCATTAATTTCCAAAATGAGTTGTAATTCTTATTGTTGTCGTAGTTGGAATTAGATGACGAAGATCCAAACTTGTTTGGATAAACAGATTCCTTGAGCTTCACCTAGGTTTGGTACTCGGTGAAAAACACTAGCTCCTTGTCCATGTACTTTTCGATAGAGAAGGACTTAGCTTCTTGCTTGTAGCCCAACTGATCAGTACTCTTGTCCACTAAATGTTCAACCTTGTAATTTTCAGTGTAATGGCTTGAGACTCTTCCATATTCATCATTGTATGAAGATCGAGCTTTGCTCTAAACTTCTCTGGACTCATTGAGCCTTGGTTTGCTCAAGAGCATTACTTTAAGGTAGCTAATCGTGTCACTGCATGCATACGCAGGTTGCTTCGTGTCTTTCTTCTTCGTCATTATGTTGATTCAGAGGTTTTATATTTAAATTTGTGAACCTTTAAACAACTCTCATAAAGTGTTGTGAATTTCAAATTGTCTTTGGCCTCGTCAAATCTTATTATCAGTTCTTAAATATTCCTGAGTTTGGACCTATTTCCTTTTTGGTTAAGAAACCAGTTGACCATACTGTGATGATTTAACAAATAATCATAAACAGTGACTTCTATTTCTGCATCTTTACCTTCCTTCGCTTGTTTGTTTCTCAATGTGAACTGGATCATGCCGGAACATACGGATGGTGTAAAAATAAAAAATAAACCTTTGTTCTTGGCATGGTTTCTAGTTCAAATCTCGATATCTTGTACTCTGGATTGTAATGGACTTGTTTTGACCCTCAAATTCTGGAGTATTCTCTCAGCCTTTCCGACATGGTTTCTCGCTCAATTAGTGGGGAATTCACGATCGATGGATTTGATGGAAGTGTGCGCCCAATTCTTATCGATTTGGACAAGAATGTTGGGAGCATAATCTTTTCACAAGCTTACCAGACTTACCAGAAAGAGTTCCATGTGGGTATGAGGTTTAAGCTGTATTTTGGTAAGAAACTGGTGAAGATTGTAGTGCAGGTGATCAGCAGATTGCATCACTATCTTCATGTTAAATTGAATGGTCACCACTCATTATCTTGCTACAATTCATAACCATCATATCTTACTCTGGTAGACCTTTTTGATGATGTGATGTGTTCGTCTCAACGTATATTTCCACAGCTTCACTTCTGAACCTTATTGTTGTGAGTACGTGGTTGTTAAAACACTTCTAGCAGATCTGTTTGGTGCATTCTGGGATGGCACTACAGGACGATCGAAGCGAAAATTGGATAATCTTTACACTTTTCTCGAAATGTGTGTACTCTCTTTTGTTTTTAGGTTGACCATTTGCGAGTCGTTCTTCTTTCCACCAACTTTGACCTTGGTTGACTAGAAATATGCAACTAAGCAAAAATGGAGAGGTGGATTGAGCACTACAACAGTTCCCAAGAGATACTGCATGTTAAGGAAGATGACTTCTCGTTTTTTGCTTGCTTGGTTCGAGATTTTGGGTCTACTACTAACATGGTAGCCACTTCTCTTGAATCCCAATGTACAGTTTTCAAATGGGTTATTTATTGGCAAAATTCTGGAGTAGTTGGTCACATTTGGAAGAACTGAGGAGGATAGGATGCTTGGTGTTGGATAGAGTTTTACGACAACAGTCTCTGTTTTGTTCAGTATGGGGTATGGCACTTTTGTGACATGGTATGAAAGTTGCTATATGCAACATTGGTTGTTAGAGGAGTTGTGTGCGCTTGTATTCGGAGGATCGAATTTACGACGTGTGAAATTATTCATCCTCAGGAAATTACTGCTTGCTTATCGAGACAACAAATGTGTGATCGATATCACGGGCGGCTGACCGGTATATCGATAGCTTATTTGTTGGGTTCGTTAAGCAAGTGGGCAAGAAGATTCGTCTACAGCAGCTGATGCAAATTCGGAATTGTTATTCTTGGGACTCGACCCAAAGACACATCTATTCTCGGAGTACGTGATGTTTCGCATGCTTCGTCAAGACCCACTCTCATTTTCAGTTTTGGTTTTTCGGTAAAAGTATTTTGATTTCCATTACTAGTTATTTGTTTTTATCGTTACAAATGTTTTGGAGAAAATATTTTCTTTTCAGTTTTAAGTTGGTTCGTGTTTTTGACCTATATGTTAGTACATATCTATTTTGACGTTATCTGACCTTAAGCTATTTTGTGTTTTCAACTTTATATTTTATTAAAGTATGTTTTCTATTTTTTTACACTGATGGGGAAAGAAAGTATGAGCCTGGAGGCACGGAAGATGGAATCATTGCAACCGGATCGCGACGGGATGACATTTTTCCTTTTGTGCAACCGCTCTTACCTAATCTCTTCGTTACATATATGTATATTATTCTTTTTCTTCCTATTTTCGAGTATTTCCAGTGTGGTATGTGATTTTAAATTTCGAGGACGAAATTCTTTTAAGACCATCTCCAACCCTTGGGCTAAAAGCCAAATTTTTTAGCCCGGAAAATTTAGCTTTTAGCCCAGAAACATCTTTTCTGCTCCAACCCTTCTACCCTAAAATTTTAGCCCGGAATTATTAAAGAATGAAATTAGCCTAAATTTTTTTCTTAAATCAATTTTTTTTTTTAAAATAAATATGTAGATTATTGGAAATTAATTTTATGAACATTTTAATCTAAAAAAATTTAAATTCCGATAAACATTTCGCATTTAGCCCGGGGGGAAAGCTGGGGGGTATTTGGCCCAGAAATAGCATTTGGCATTTAGCCTAAAATTTTAGCATGGATTGGAGAGTGTTTGGGGGGTAATTTGGGGGGGGTAATTTGGCTTTTAGCCCAGGGTTGGAGATGGTCTAAGGGGGGTAGATTGTTACACCCACCCCTAATTTAAATTGTATTTTCACTAAGTTTGTGATTATCTTGCTTTTAAAATGGTTTTTAATTCTTGGTGTGCCCAAGGGGCCCACCTTCTGTTTTGTGTCCCCCATTCCCGTCACTCTTCATTCTCTCTCAGCCCTCTTCTTTCTCTCCCTTATCTCTCTCCCTCTCTATCACCGTGAGCACCCACACACACACACACCCACCACCACAACTACCTAGCTACGCCACCACCATCACCTATGGAACTTTCTTCTCTCTCTCCCCCATCTCGACGAAGCTCTGGGACACCCAGAGAACACCCAAGTCTCCCCCGACGACTCCGGTGACTTTCGAGGTAATTTTCGGCCAAACCACGGTGAGTTGGCCGTCGTGTAAGGTATTAATCTCTTCGTCTCACTGAGAACTACAACTTTCCTTTTTGTTTCACTCATTTTTGTTGAGTATTGAAGAAGTTATACTCATTTGAATCTTACCCAGTTTCCGACGACCTCCGAGACTTTCGAGGCATTTTCCGGCCAAAACACGGCGAGTTAGACATCGTGTAAGGTACCATTCTCTTCGTCTCTTCGAGGGCTACAACTTTCATATTTGAATCACTTGATTTCGTTAAGTATTGACAAAGTTATTGATGTTTAAATGTTGCCCACAAATTCTGGCGGAAAGCCCAATTTTCTCGGCAAACCCGTGCTTTCCAGGCCATTTTTCAGCGAACTCCGACCACGATGATGGGAACCAAGGGTATATTTCGATTCCTTACTTTTGGGGCTTCAATTTGGTATATTGAATGACATGTTTTGGTTGAGTTTTGAGCTCCATCGGAGCTTGGGAATTCTCCGGCCGAAATCCGGCCTTCTCCTCCCTTTAAATCTGGCGACCCACCAAACCCAATCCCTTTGGGCCTTTCCTGTCGAGCCCAACCCAAAACCCATTTCAGTTTTTATTATTTATTTTAAATATTGTTTTAATGTAAAAGACCCTTGGGCCATTTTAAACCAGGGTCTTAGGCCCGTCCTCCTTAAAACCCAAAAATTCTGTACTTTAAGTTGTTTTTATTTTTATTTACTAAACCAAAGGCCTTTAGGCCATTTTCCTTTAGGGCCTTAGGCCTGTGCATCCTAAGCCAACCCTTTAAACCCCATTACCCTAAACCCTTAAACCTAACCGGTCCAAACCCTTTGTAGGAAATATTCTATTAGGGAATATTCCGTCAGGGAATATTCTAGGAATATTCTATCGACGTTTATGAAATTTAATTGGGCCCCTTCTTAGGGTAATTCGACGTTCTGAATCTGTTTCCAATGTTCGTTTTCCCAAATTCAATTGCTATTGTATAGTTTTATTTATTGGACTCTTTATGTGCTTAGGGGCAATTATAGTGGCGTTTCTGTCTTCGCTAGCTGTGTGACTTTTCGACGGCGAAGTACTGTGAGTGGACCCCTTCTAAAATTACATGATTTTATAGTTTAATTGCATAAATGACTAGCATGCCTACGAGTTTATGATTTGATTGATGTCAAGCCTGTTTATTAAATATATTGATTTTCGTCTCGTGTTTTTGGTGAGGAATTAATTGTTGGCCTATATTGAGTTATATTTTAATATATCGTATTTTCTATAAAAACCATGAACTGGTAGACTATCTGATGGATGACGATAGGATGCTAAAACATGTTTTCGAAACCTCTCTTTATAGTATAGATGATGAATGACTTTATACTATGAAGTGATTATTTTTTAGAGGCGTAACTATTTGTGCGTACCTAGTGGACACTATGCCGCCTGGGGCGAGGATCTGGTGTTGGCATTTAGGCTGGGAGAAATAATCCCTAGCTACGGGCTGAGGGACACGGAGCAGGCATTGGGCTGGGAGTTGGTAATCTCTAGCTACGGGCGCAGAGACCACGGAGCAGGCATTGGGCCGGGAGTTATATTTATTTAGTGATCTTTTTAGCAGCACACTGCGCTTACGAGACGATCTATGAGACGTTTGCTGTTTTGATTTCTGCGATGATATTCCGCGATATGACTTTTGAGATATTTTTGGCATGCTAGGATTTTTATTAAATCTATTACTTATTATGTTAGTAGTTTTCTTTATATAAACTGTGGGGGTTAGTATCTTGATAACTGTTTTATTTTTATTACATATATAAACTTGGTCCACTCACCTTTGTTTTGCGTCCCCATTCAGGACTTAGGATCAAGGCACCTAATCCCAGCGTCAAAGCATTTCTATAGCAGCATCTTCGGATCCTCTCGATGTAGGACTTACTCCTTTTTTCATTTAATTTTATCTTAATTCTTTTTAGTGATTAGGTATAGTTGTATGCTCTGAACACGTTCCTAAATTATTAATTCATTGTTTTTAAATTAATAACCCTTATTTACTTCTTATTCTCAGCTTTTGTATCAATTAATGGCTTTCGTCACCTTCGGGTGTCGGCCAGCACGTGTCTATCCTGGTATTCGGGGAATATCAGGGTCGGGGCGTGTCATATCATCATATATATTGGGCACATTTTTATTATTATATGTACAAATAATAGCTAAATAGTATTGAATAAAATAATTTTTTTTATGTAGGTATATTATTTTGCATATATTTGGGTTTGCTTTATTATGTAGGAAAATTATTTTGCATGAATTTTTATGTATGTCAGGCATGTTTTTTGTTGTTGTTATATATATGTGTGTGTTAAATAATTTACCTACATTTATATGTAAAATATAATTTTATTGACTTAACTAAGCATGTATTACTACATTTATTAGGCATGTTTTATTGTTATTGTATATTATATATTATGCAATGAATTTAATATTTTTTTAATTTTTGTAAAATCATTAATTCTCCCTTACAATTTGTATGGAATTAATTGTGTAAATCAAACATTCAAATAGAGGTGTTTTGGGCATAAAAAAATTTTTAAATGTGTAAAGTCAAATATAATTAATGAATTTGCTGATATGGAATTTAGTTAATGAATTTTATTCCAATAAAAAACTTATGTTGGGTTTTATGTGGAAAAAATTAAGTTTCAGGGACTAAAGTCATATTTTCAGTTAAATTTATTTAATTTCTCATACTAAAGATCATATGCCTACACAAAGAAAATAGAAGAGAAATTATCTATATGGCATAGTATGTACATGTCGTATTTTGCATAGAACAATAAAACACCAATATAGGTCCATTAGGGAAACTCAGTATTAAGATATCATAATAGATATAACCTGTAGGCATGTTGCTGCCTAATGACAATAAACAAAACCATTTTAACATAATAGATGTAACCTGTAGGCATGTTGCTGCCTAATGACAAAGACAAAAGTATTGAACTTCATACAATATGGTCAGTATGGTTAGACGTGGCATTTTGGACCCGAACTGTTAACCCGACTCGATTCGACCCGATCCGACCAGTTAACATTAGTATTTAGGTGGATGCTTCACGGGTCGGGTCGCTAACGGGTGAACCCCGTTAACAACCCATTAAATAACGGGTCACTTTGGGTCAACCCGTTAGACCCGTTAGCACCCGTTAACACCCGTTAACACCTGTTAGTTGAAGATATTTTAGTAATTTCAATAAAGTCTTAACAACAAAATATAAACTCTTATGCAAAAAAAAAAAAAATTAATAATTGTTAACGGGTGAAACGGATTACCTGTTAGCTTAACGGGTCGGGTTCGAGTGAGCCGTTAGCTTAACGGGTTGGGTTCGGATGACCTGTTAACTTAACGGGTCAGTTTGAACCCGACCCAAACCCAATAAACCCGACTCGTTTACAGGTTGTATGGTATTTGCAAAGAAATAACCATGTTAACTCTCAAGTATATACGCCCCTGAAATTTATTGCGTTAGTCTCCTCTTCAGACACAACTAAGCCCGTCTAGGTCCAATCGTGTTGAGGCCCAAAGGATTGAAGAAGTCGGTTCCCAAAAGCAAGGGACCATGGAAACGCGTGATGCGGTCGTCATTGACTTATTGGCTTCAACAGCTAGAAAGGTCGTCATTTTCTCATTGCTTCCTTTGTAGATCAATGTGCAGATCAGTGTGAAGATCAATTGAGTGTTTCAGTTCTTACATTACTCGATCGATTAATGGCTGCTGCTGCATCTTCTTCTTCCTCTGGCTCTCCTTGGAAATACGACGTGTTCATCAATTTCAGAGGGGAAGACACTCGCAGGTGCTTCGTCAGCCACCTCTACAAAGCCCTGAATCAGAAAGCAATCAACACCTTCATTGATGCCGAAGGGCTCCGAAAGGGCAACGACCTTTTGCAGCTACTGACGGCGATCCAAGATTCGCGCGTTTCAATCGTAGTTTTTTCTCAAAACTATGCTTCTTCCACATGGTGCTTGAAGGAGCTCGTCCAAATACTGGATTGTATGGATCGAAAGAACCAGATGGTTGTGCCCGTTTTTTACCAAGTGGATCCTTCTGATGTCCGCAAAGCAAAGAGGAGCTTTGAGGAAGCTTTTGCCGAGCATGAAGGCCATTCAAACACCGACATGGAAGAGGTGCGGAGGTGGAGGTCCGCTCTTAGTCGAGCCATCAATTTATCCGGCTGGGATTCGAAAAATTATGAGTAATATTTAGTTATTGTAGTTTCGTAATTTGGGATTTTTTTAACGTTTAGTATTAATTATTTGTCATGTTTTCCTAGCAAATGTATGACTATGTATACGGTTTGCACTTGCTCTTGATCTCACTCTTACAAAAATGTTTTTCTTATTCCACAGGGATGATGTGAAGCTCATTGAGGAAATTGTAAAAGATATTTTTCAGAAATTGATCCGCACCTCGTCAAGTAAAGACGATGACTTGGTTGAAATGGATTCCCACATGCATGAAATGGACTTGCTATTACATCCTGCTCCTCAAATGGACGACGTTCGTGTTGTTGGAATATGGGGTATGGGTGGTGTAGGCAAAACCACCATAGCTAGAGCTGTTTATGAGGAAATTGCTTGTCAATTTGAAGCTTGTTGCTTTCTTGACAATGTTAAGGAAGAATTCTCCACTTGTGGTGCCGTACATATGCAGGAAAAATTTCTCTCTAGAATCCTGAATGAAAAGGTGCAGAGTTTAGGCACTTTGGATCGAGGTTACAGAATGATTTTGAAAAGGCTACAGCTGAAAAAGGTTTTGATTGTTCTTGATGATGTTGACGACTTATTTCAAATTGAAACCTTACTTGGAAAGCAACATTCATTTGGTGGTGGGAGTAGAATCATTATCACCACTAGAGATAAGCTAGTACTAAGTGGAGCTGATGCGATCTACAGCCCCAAGGTTCTAAGTGGTGATGGAGCTTTGGAACTCTTTAGCCAGTATGCCTTCCGAACAAAGCAACCCAAAAGAGACTATGACCATCTCTCAAGCCGTGCTGTACGATATGCTCAAGGTCTCCCTTTAGCACTTAAAGTCTTGGGGGCTTTTCTTTATAACAAATCTGTACAGGAGTGGGAAGAGGTGCTAGAGAAATTAAAGAAAATCCCGCAGAGGGGAATTCATGATGTGCTAAGAACAAGCTTCGATGGACTAGATGATTCTGAGAAGGACATATTTCTGGATATTGCATGTTTCTTTAAAGGAGCGGAAAAAGACAACGCAACAAAGGTTCTGGACGGTTGTGGCTTTTATCCCCATACTGGGCTAAGAGTTCTAATTGATCGAGCTCTTATAACTGTCTCATGGGAAAAATTGGAGATGCATGATTTACTAGAGGAAATGGGTGCTCATATAACTGTCTCATGGGAAAAATTGGAGATGCATGATTTACTAGAGGAAATGGGTCGGGAAATCGTTCGCCAAGAATCCATTAAAGAGCCTGGGAAACGCAGTAGGTTGTGGAATTATGAAGATGTTCATCATGTGCTAACTCAAAATAAGGTGCGATATGTTCATGACCTTGTTTTTCATATGTAAATCTTTAGAGTAAACAGCTTTAACTTTGACCAAAATACAATTCATAGAAACATGCATTAACTTTATAATGTTAAATAAGATTCAGGATATCTGCAGTCACATAATTTGAACTATTTGTAATCCAGGCTACGGAAGCTGTTGAAAGTATAATCCTTGACCCTTCATTCTCAAAACCAGAAGTGGTATACTTAAGTTCCGAAGCTTTTGTTAAAATGACGAAATTAAGATTGCTCAAAATCCATTGCGACAGTGGATATTCATGTGAGAATTTAAAGTTTCTTCCGCATGAGTTAAGAAGTCTCATATGGAAGCATTTTCCCCTAAAGTCTTTACCGTCCAATTTTATTGCGAAGAATCTTGTTGAGCTTGACATGCAAAATAGTCTCATTGAACATCTTTGGGAAGGAGCCAAGGTAAAAACTTCACTTGCTTATGTTTCTTTTAAGTGGTTTAATTCTTAGATGCCTTACCATATAACTTGTTTTCCTGGATGTGTTATACCAGCCTCTGGAAAATTTGAAAATTATCAACTTAACAAGTTCTCCTCACCTGAAGAAAACTCCAGACTTCACGGAGGCGAAAAATCTGGAGAAAGTAGTTTTTCGAAGTTGTACAAGTTTACTTGAGGTTCACCCATCCATTTCATCTCTCGAAAACCTGGTTCTTTTGGATTTCGAAAATTGTGGAAATCTTAAGATTTTTCCAAGCAGGATTGGTATGAAATCTCTTAGAACCCTTACACTTTCAGGGTGCGAAAACCTCGAGAAGTTTCCCGAAGTTTCAGATGTTATGCAGGATCTATCAGTGCTTTATTTAAATTCTGCTGGAATTAAAGAACTGCCCTCGTCAATTAGTAATCTTACGGGGCTTCTTGTCTTGAATATAAATGGTTGCAGAAATCTTGAGGGTCTTCCAAGCAGCATTTGTCACATGAAATCTCTTCAATACCTTGATGTTTCTAAGTTCTCAAATCTTGAGAAGTTTCCAGAAATTTCAGAGGTTATGAATATTCTATCTGAGCTTGATTTGAGTGGCACTGCAATTAAGGAATTGCCTGCGTTAGTTTTAAATCTCACCAATCTTGTTACTCTGAGGCTGAATGATTGTAGAGAACTTGAAAGTCTTCCAAGCAGCATTTGTCAAATGAAATCTCTTCAATACCTTGATGTTTCTGGGTGCTCAAACCTTGAGAAGTTTCCAGAAATTTCAGAGGTTATGAATATGCTATCTGAGCTTAATTTGAGTGGCACTGCAATTAAGGAACTACCTGTGTCAGTTTTAAATCTCACCAATCTTGTTACATTGACGCTGGATGATTGCAGAGAACTTGAGAGTCTTCCAAGCAGCATTTGTCGAATGAAATCTCTTCAATACCTTCATGTTTCTGGATGCTCAAATCTTGAGAAGTTTCCAGAAATTTCAGAGGTTATGACTAAGCTGTCTTGGCTTTATTTGGATGGCACTGCAATTAAGGAATTGCCTGCGTCAGTTTTAAATCTCACCAATCTTCTTACGCTATTGCTGAATGATTGCAGAGAACTTGAGAGTCTTCTAAGCAACATTTGTCACATGAAATCTCTTCAATACCTTGATGTTTCTGGGTGCTCAAACCTTAAGAAGTTTCCAGAAATTTCAGAGGTTATGAATATGCTATCTGAGCTTTATTTGGGTGGCACTGCAATTAAGGAACTGCATGCGTCAGTTTTAAATCTCACCAATCTTGTTACACTGAGGCTGAATGATTGCAAAGAACTTGAGAGTGTTCCAAGCAGCATTTGTCACATGAAATCTCTTCAATACCTTGATGTTTTTGGGTGCTCAAACCTTAAGAAGTTCCCAGAAATTTCAGAGGTTATGAATATGCTATCTAAGCTCTATTTGGGTGGCACTGCAATTAAGGAACTGCCTGCGTCAATTTTAAATCTCACCAATCTTGTTACTCTGAGGCTGAATGATTGCAGAGAACTTGAGAGTCTTCCAAGCAGCATTTGTCAAATGAAATCTCTTCAATACCTTGATGTTTCTGGGTGCTCAAACCTTAAAAAGTTTCCAGAAATATCAGAGGTTATGAATATGCTATCTGAGCTTTATATGGGTGGCACTGCAATTAAGGAACTGCCTGCATCAATTTTAAATCTCACCAATCTTGTTACTCTGAGGCTGAATGATTGCAGAGAACTTGAGAGTCTTCCAAGCAGCATTTGTCAAATGAAATCTCTTCAATACCTTGATGTTTCTGGGTCCTCAAACCTTGAGAAATTTCCAGAAATTTCAGAGGTTATGAATATGCTATCTGAGCTTGATTTGGGTGGCACTGCAATTAAGGAACTGCCTGCGTCAGTTATAAATCTCACCAATCTTGTTACTCTGAGGCTGAATGATTGCAGAGAACTTGAGAGTCTTCCAAGCAGCATTTGTCACATGAAATCTCTTCAATACCTTGTGTTTCTGGGTCCTCAAAACTTGAGAAATTTCCAAAAATTTCAGAGGTTATGAATATGTTGTTTGAGCTTTATTTGGGTGGCACTGCAATTAAGGAACTACCTGCGTCAGTTTTAAATCTCACCAATCTTGTTACACTTGTGGCTGAATGATTGCAGAGAACTTGAGAGTCTTCTAAGCAGCATTTGTCACATGAAATCTCTTCAATACCTTGTGTTTCTGGGTCCTCAAAACTTTGAGAAATTTCCAGAAATTTCAGAGGTTATGAATATGTTGTCTGAGCTTTATTTGGGTGGCACTGCAATTGAGGAGCTGCCTGCGTCAGTTTTAAATCTCACCAATCTTGTTACTCTGAGGCTGAATGATTGCAGAGAACTTGAGAGTCTTCCAAGCAGCATTTGTCACATGAAATCTCTTCAATACCTTGATGAAAATGAAATGGTTATCAAATGGCACCAAAGTATTTAACCCCTCTCACAATGAAGAGTCTGACTTAATGGGATTTGATGCAGTTAATGTACCCATATATTTCATAGCCACAAAGATCCGATAATTGTTTTCACTAAACAAAGAGTTTCGTGATAAGTTCTGTGTTGTGCAGAGGATTCCAAACAAATTTTTTAGGAAATATGGAGATGATCTTTCGAATCCAGTATTTATTAAGCTTCCAACTGGTTCAGAGTGGAAAATATAATTCAGAATATGGGAGGGTGAGGTCTGGTTCGGCGAGGGTTGGCCAAAGTTCTCAAAGTTTTACTCTCTAGACTGCTGTCATTCGTTAGTTTTCGGATATGAAGGGAATTCAACATTCCGCATTTGTATATTTGACAAGGATTTTGCAGAGATCACTATCCATTGACAATGCCCGAGATGGAAGAAACCGATGAAGATGATGATTCCGGCAATAGTTCTTGGGATGATGATGAGGACTCTGATTGTGTTGAAGTCTTGGATAACATCATGTCCCCCCTCAAGAAAAACATGGGACAAATCTCCATTGTCATGTCCTCGGTCTCATAAGAAGCACAGAACAAGTTCAACTGGTAAAACCAGAAACCCAAAAAAATACTCTGATTACATTAGGAAATGATGTTTGAGAAGTCAATAAAATCTAAATCAGAAAAAAAAAATTTTGAACATTAATATGCAACATATGTTTCGCTTCCAATTTTTTACCTTATTGTGCTTTCTGCCATTCTGTTCTAACTTGTAATATCCTACTGTGTTCTTTGACATGCAAAGCTGAGTTTGCATCCAAAAGACATGGCGAAGGCACATCCAGCACTCCAAAATGAGCTCAAACAGTTCTTGGGAGGATGCATGCGTCGAATACAAGAGGAAAAGCTGCTGTAGCTATTCGGAGAGCTACTGCTTTCAAATCTGACAACCCTTCTTTCATAGTTCCCATGAAGCGCAATATCAATGGATATTCTGTGGTAAGTTCTCTATAGACAACCATCCTGGACCATCAAATTTGTTTGCTTATCGTCTTTTCCTTCATTTGATTATTTTCAGTGGCTGCCTTCAAAATTGTGTATCCACATGAGGCGTCTTGGTAAGCATTCTGGTGCCGTTATCCTTCGGGTTTTGGATGGGAGAACTTGGTCTGTTGAAATGAAATGTGAAATCGCAACCAGACCAAAACTCAGATTGCAGTATGGTTGGACTGAATTTGTAAGAGGCAATAATTTGGAAGTTGGTGATGTGTACGTGCTTGTGTTGATAGATGACACTAAACTTGTGTTTGAAGTTGTCATTTTTCGCGCCACAGGAACTGCACATACATTCTCACCACCAGGTACGTTGTCTTTTAATTTCTGAACTGATTAATTGATGGAAGTACCATAGAGATTAACTTTCCATCACGTTCATCTTTCATGATGTGCCTGCAGATGTTGACGGGGAACAAACAATGTCCCAAACGGAAGAAACTGATGAAGATGATGATTCCATTGAAATCTTGGACAATTTCCCAAGATGCTCGAAAACAAAGAAGAAATCACCGACAGCACCACAGCCTCACAAGAAAAACAGAACATGTTCAGTTAGCACAGCAGAAAATCGCATAAAGAAATTTGGTGGCTCGTCTTTGACTGAAAAAATAATGAACCGAAGAACTCTTCAAGTTCTTAGGAAGATGAACCCAGTTACGGCAGGTGGTACAAATAGAGCCCTTCAGAGAGCAAAGGCTTTCAAATCTGAATACCCTTCTTGCACAGTTGTTATGAGTCCCTCATATATCCATGCACATTATGTGGTAAGCTTTTTGTAGAGAGACATAATGTACGAGTTCTGCTAATTGTATCTCTATATATGTGTGTGTGTTAGTTTTGAAACTGAAAATTAAGCTCAAGCAAATTACAACACAAATCCTCTCCAAATTACCTGATTCTCTTTCTTTTCAGTATTTGGGAGCCAAGTTTACCAAGGAACACTTTCTTAAGCGGAATTATCATCAAGTAATCCTTCGTGTTTCGGATGGAAGAACTTGGCCTGTCAAATTAAGCAAACGTCAGAAAAACATGGTCCGACTCCAGAATGGTTGGATTACATTTGTGCAAGACAGTCATTTGGAAATTGGTGATGTGTGTGTATTTGCGTTGATTAACAACATCAAGGGTTTAATGGATGTTGTTATTTTCCACACTACAGAAGCTGCACGTTGCAACGTGTCACAAAGTTGTCTATTGATTTTTGAACTGATTAGTTGATGGAATTGCCGTAGAGATTAACTACCTGTCACCTCAATCTTTTGCGGTGTGCTTGCAGACGGGGAAAAACCAATGTCCCAAACTGAAGAAACTGATGAAGATGATGATTGTGTTGAAATCTTGGACGATTCTCCACCATGCCTGAAAACAAAGAAAAACAGAGTGGGTTCCATTAGCACTTCAGAAACCCACATGAAGAAATTTGGTGGCTCGTCTTGGACTAAAGAATTAGTAAAACGAAGACCTGATCAGGTTCCTAGGATGATGAATCCACAACTTCTGCTAGTATGTATTGAAAACTATTAAGCTAAAGAAAATTACGTTCTAAATACTCACAAATTTAGTCTTACCTGCTTCTCTTTCTATTTCAGAATTTGGAAGCTAAGTTTGCCCAGGAACATCTTCTAAACAGGACTCATGATAATGTGATTCTTCGTGTTTCGGGTGGAAGAACTTGGCCTGTCAAATTACACCAATATAGCAAAACTGTACTGAAATTCCAGAGTGGCTGGATGACATTTGTGCAAGACAATGGTCTGGAAATCGGTGATGTGTGTGTTTTCATGTTGATTAATAATACCGAACATTTAATGATGTAGTCATTTTCCGCGGTAGAGAAACCGCTGATTGCACCTTTTCACCGGGTGAGCAAGTTTTCTGTTGGTTGTGAGTTTCTTTCTGCTCCATCAGGTCTGTCATCTGCATAACTTATACGCGTGTTATTCTTCTCCATTTTTCTGTCTTTGTTTTAGGGAAAGCTCAATCAATTTCCAAGGATCAGTTCAAGTCGAAAAATAAGAAAGTAGCCGGATGGATGTAGTTGTTGAAGCTGAGTATTTCACCACGAATACTACCAAAGATGAATCTGAATATTGAAGGCAGATGAAAAAAGGTCTGCAAATTTAATGATGCCCATGTCCTCCACTTGTTATTTTGATCACCCTCATAAAGGGCATCATCCTAAGAACCTCTTTTGTTGTTATGAATTTCAACTTCATCTTGAACCCTACATTTTGGATGTCATAGTTATGAGATATGTTGTCTTTGTGCTTAACCTTAACTTAGGTGGAACGGGTTCACTGTCACCTTGGACTCGCGAGCCACTTATACAAGGCAATGTAACGAGCCTTGCACATGACCTTGAGTGACCACAGGCATCATGGTGGCAGTAAACTTGTTTCATGATAGTCTCTATCCAACAATCAATATTCCGTACACTAATTTTTAAATGGGAGTTTTAACGAAAGGCCCGCGGTACTGTTCACTTTAACGATAAATCACATTTTTACACTAAAAAGTCAAACCTGGTATTATTCACTTTACCATTTATTTTGTCTTTATCTTTAAAACTCAAAGTTTTCAAATCTTTTTCATTAGTTTTCTTAATTTTTATCTTGTATTACGTAAGTGTGTACCATTCTGGTTAGTTATTACTTGTTCGTGGTAAGGAAATACCACATTCTTCTGCATAATGGATTACTCTTAGGTACCGTCCATGAAAAAGAAAGAACCTCTAACAGAATGACATATCAGGAGAGACATGAAATGCTTATTTTCCCCTCAAAGTGATCGAACTCAGTAGCATACATAGAAAAACATCTCAAGTTCAAATGATGGGTCGGTAAATGGGAAATATGTATCAACCAAGCGCATCTCCACATCACCTGAAAATATCAATATAATCAACTTAAGAGGTTTCGAAACAACTGTGTCTATGATAAACAACCAAAAAACAACAACTAAGGGAACAATTGAAGGATTTTCGAAGCAAATAATACTCAACATACTTAATAGCTACATTTTGGATACTGAAGCACTCAAATGGCAATACCCAAATCGCAGGTATGTCTGATACTGAGCACGACGGTTCAAGATAGTAGTCACAGTAATTTTATCAAACAAGTGGCGTGCTAGGAAGCCATAGTGCGGACTTCCAAGTGAATGACTTTAATATATGTAATATGGTGATTACCCATGAAATCCTCATGTTAGTATATTTTGTGGATATGACATGAATTTATAAATGTGTTTTTCTACTAAATATTATTGCTTTCATATTTTTCCATCTATCTATATTTTCATGAAATGTGATTTGACTTGCATATTTGAAATGTTTATGAACTTGAGGGTTAGTAGAGGACCGATAACCCCATATTGTTGCATTGAAAGTGTCATGTCTTATTTCATTGAGCCATTGGAAACTGTTTCCTTGGATTATGCTCGATCCTTGGATTTGCTCATGTGAGAAATGCTGCTTGGAAGACTCTCAAGTTCTCTGCAATCATTCAAATTCAAAGTAACAAGACTTGTGAGATTTAAAATAGAAGTAGGCAGCTCCTTAATTGCACTGCCACCCAAACAAAGCTTAGATAGCTTCTTCATAACCTCTGAAATATCTGGAAACTTCTCAAGCTTTGAGCATCCAGAAACATAAAGGTATTCAAGAGATTTCATGTGAGAAATGCTGCTTGGAAGACTCTCAAGTTCTCTGCAATCATTCAGATTCAAAGTATCAAGACTGGTGAGATTTAAAATAGAAGCAGGCAGCTCCTTAATTGCAGTGCCACCCAAATAAAGCTCAGATGGCGAACCTCTGAAATTTCTGGAAACTTCTCAAGCTTTGAGCATCTAGAAACATCAAGGTATTCAAGAGATTTCATGTGAGAAATGCTGCTTGGAAGACTCTCAAGTTTTCTGCAACCTTTTATATTCAAGGCAACAAGCCCCGTAAGATTACTAATTGACGAGGGCAGTTCTTTAATTTCAGTATAACCTAAATAAAGCTTCGATAGATCCTGCATAACATTTGAAACTTCGGGAAACTTATCGAGGTTATTGCAGCATGAAAGTTTAAGGATTCTAAGAGATTTCATACCAATCCTGCTTGGAAAAATCTTAAGATTTCTGCAATATTCCAAATCCAAAAGAACCAGCTTTTTGAGAGATGAAATGGATGGGTGAACCTCAAATAAACTTGTACAACTTCGAAAAACTGCCTTCTCAAGATTTTTCGTCTCCGTGAAGTCAGGAGTTTGCTTCAGGTGAGGAGAACTTGTTAAGTTGATAATTTTCAAATTTTCCAGAGGCTGGTATAACACATCAAGGAAAACAAGGTAAGGCATCTAAGAATTAAACCATTTAAAAGAAACATATGCAAGTTAAGTTTTTACCCTGGCTCCTTCCCAAAGATGTTCAATGAGACTATTTTGCATGTCAAGCTCAACAAGATTCTTCGCAATAAAATTGGACGGTAAAGACTTTAGGGGGAAATGCTTCCATATGAGACTTCTTAACTCATGCAGAAGAAACTTTAAATTCTCACATGACTATCGATTGTCGCCGTGGATTTTGAGCAATCTTAATTTCGTCATTTTAACAAAAGCTTCGGAACTGAAGTATATCACTTTTGGTTTTGAGAATGAAAGGTCAAGGATTATGCTTTCAACAGCTTCCGTAGCCTGGATAACAAATAGTTCAAATTATGTGACTGTAGATATCCTGAATCTTATTTAACATTATAAAGTTAATGCATGTTTCTATGAATTGCATTTTGATCAAAGTTAAAGTTGTTTACTCTAAAGATTTACATATGAAAAAGAAGGTCATGAACATATCGCACCGTATTTTGAGTTAGCACATGATGAACATCTTCATAATTCCACAACCTACTGCGTTTCCCAGGCTCTTTAATAGATTCTTGGCGGACGATTTCCCGACCCATTTCCTCTAGTAAATCATGCATCTTCAGTGTTTCCCGTGAGACAGTTATAAGAGCTCGATCAATTAGAACTCTTAGCCCAGTATGGGGATAAAAGCCACAACTGTCCAGAACCTTTGTTGCGTTGTCTTTTTCCGCTCCTTTAAAGAAACATGCAATATCCAGAAATATGCCCTTCTCAGAAACATCCAGTCCATCGAAGCTTGTTCTTAGCACATCATGAATTCCCCTTTGCGGGATTTTCTTTAATTTCTCTAGCACCTCTTCCCACTCCTGTACAGATTTGTCATAAAGAAAAGCCCCCAAGACTTTAAGTGCTAAAGGGAGACCTTGAGCATATTGTACAGCACGGCTTGAGAGATGGTCATAGTCGCTTTTGGGTTGCTTTGTTCTAAAGGCATACTGGCTAAAGAGTTCCAAAGCTCCATCACCACTTAGAACCTTGGGGCTGTAGATCGCATCAGCTCGACTTAGTACTAGCTTATCTCTAGTGGTGAGAATGATTCTACTCCCATCGCCAAATGAATGTTGCTTTCCATGTAGGGTTTCAATTTGAAATAAGTCGTCAACATCACCAAGAACAATCAAAACCTTTTTCATCAGTAGCCTTCTCAATATCGTTCTGTAACCTTGATCCAAAATGCCTAAACTCTGCACCTTTTCATTCAAGATTCTAGAGAGAAACTTTTCCTGCATATGTACGGCACCACAAGTGAACTCTTCCTTGACATTGTCAAGAAAGCAACAAGCTTCAAATTGACAAGCAATTTTCTCATAAAAAGCTCTAGCTATGGTCGTTTTACCAATACCACCCATACCCCATATTCCAATAACACGAACGCCGTCCATTTCAGGAGAGGGTTGTAATAGCAACTCCATTTCATGCATGCGGGAATCCATTTCAACCAAGTCATCGTCTTTACTTGATGAGGTGCGGATCAATTTCTGAAAAATATCTTTTACAATTTCCTCAATGAGCTTCACATCATCCCTGTGGAATAAGAAAAACATTATTGTATGAGTAAGATCAAGAGCAAGTGCAAACCGTATACATAGTCATACATTTGCTAGGAAAACATGACAAAGAATTAAAACTAAACGTTAAAATAAAATAAAAAATCCCAAATTATGAATGTAGTTATTGCAAATTGAAAATACAGGTTGGTGCCTGCAATTACCAATGTAGTTATTGTGGCAAATGCAAGAAAATATGAATGAAACTGATTCTCGGTGATCTGCAAGTATGGACTTGGCATGCCTACACATGAAGAACTTACTTGTATTGGGGATGCCAGGGTGATCGGTGTCCTAAACTCAATAACACGACATCCATGTGGAAATTAAAAATTAAAAACACAATGGGACAAGTTTTGTGCACCGCTACATTAACATTCCAGTTGCATGTAACTTTCTCTTCACTAGCGCAGTTAACCATTGTGATCAAAATTCAGAAAGCACTCTTCATTATCATGGTATTGACATGTGTATTTCGGCTCAGGGAGTTCATCATGGTGTTGAAAGTTGTACCTGTTTCCAAAAATGTGAAATCAGGCGCATGTAAGTTATACTTGGTGAAAGCTCTTGTATCGATTGCAGTTTCCTGCAAGCTTCCAATTTGAGATATTGCTTCTGTATAGTAATTATTTTCTCCAGAAGAATTTATGAGCACGACAGTCCTCTATTCCAAGAAATTCAAGACACATCATGGAAGCAGAGCACACCAAGAAGAACAGAGAACATTGTGAAAACAGTGCCCACATTTCTCTATATTCGCTGCGTAAAACATCTGAAGCGTGTCCAAAAGTAAAACAGGGATTGGGAGTATGTATATTATATATTACAATTCACAAGTTAAAAGAATAGAATAGAATCCCTGTGCTCAACAATTTCTACTCCAGCGTCCCACAAGGATTCTATCTTCTCCAAGTTCACAGCCAACTTAAAAAGGTTTGAGCACCCGCAGAGATTGAGATCTCTCAGGCATCCCAAATTACAGATATTGTCTGGAAGATGAACAAGGTTTTTGCAGTTTCTCAGATTTAATAACACCAGCCCTTGAAGATATTCAATTGACAGGGAAAGTTCTTTAATAGATGTTCCATCCAAGTGAAGCTCTCTTAATCCTTCCATAATTTCTTCAATACTTGGAAATACCTCAAACCTTATGCAACCAGAAAGACAAACATATCTAAGGGACTAGAGTCGACAGATGCTGCTTGGCAGAATCTTGAGATTTGAGCATCCTGAAATTTCTGAAAACTTCTGAAAACTTCTCAAGATTTGAGCATCCTAAAACATCAATGTATTTTAAGGGATTTCAAGTGAGAAATGCTGCTTGGAAAACTCAAGTTCTCTACAGTCATTCAGCTTCAAGGTAACAAGACTGGTGAGAATTTAAAGTGATGCAGGCAGTTCCATAATTGCAGTGCCACCAAAATAAAACTCAGATAGCTTCTTCATAACCTTTGAAATTTCTGGAAACTTCTTGAGCTTTGAGCATCCAGAAACATCAAGGTATTCAAGAGATTTCATGTGAGAAATGCTGCTTGGAAGACTCTCAAGTTCTCTGCAATTATTAAGCTTCAAAGTAACAAGACTAGTGAGATTTAAAATAGAAGCAGGCAGCTCTTTAATTGTAGTGCCACCCAAATAAAGCCCAGATAGCTTCTTCATAACCTCTGAAATTTCTGGAAACTTCTCAAGCTTTGAGCATCTAGAAACATCAAGGTATTCAAGAGATTTCATGTGAGAAATGTTGTTTGGAAGACTCTCCAGTTCTCTGCAATCATTCAGATTCAAAGTAACAAGACTGGTGAGATTTAAAATAGAAGCAGGCAGCTCTTTAATTGTAGTGCCACCCAAATAAAGCCCTAATAGCTTTTTCATAACCTCTGAAATTTCTGGAAACTTCTCAAGCTTTGAGCATCTAGAAACATCAAGGTATTCAAGAGATTTCATGTGAGAAATGCTGCTTGGAAGACTCTCCAGTTCTCTGCAATCATTCAGATTCAAAGTAACAAGACTGGTGAGATTTAAAATAGAAGCAGGCAGCTCCTTAATTGCAGTGCCACCCAAACAAAGCACAGATAGCTTCTTCATAACCTCTGAAATTTCTGAAAACTTCTCGAGCTTTGAGCATCCAGAAACATCAAGGTATTCAAGAGATTTCATGTGAGAAATGCTGCTTGGAAGACTCTCAATTTCTCTGCAATCATTTAGCTTCAAAGTAACAAGGCTGGTGAGATTTAAAATAGAAGCAGGCAGCTCTTTAATTGCAGTGCCACCCAAACAAAGCTCAATTAGCTTCATCATAACCTCCGAAATTTCTGGAAACTTCTTGAGCTTTGAGCATCCAGAAACATCAAGGCGTTGAAGAGATTTCATGTAAGAAATGCTGCTTGGAAGAATCTCAAGTTCTCTGCAATCATTTAGCTTCAAAGTAACAAGGCTGGTGAGATTTAAAATAGAAGCAGGCAGCTCTTTAATTGTAGTGCCACCCAAATAAAGCCCAGATAGCTTCTTCATAACCTCTGAAATTTCTGGAAACTTCTCAAGCTTTGAGCATCTAGAAACATCAAGGTATTGAAGAGATTTCATGTGAGAAATACTGCTTGGAAGACTCTCAAGTTCTCTGCAACCATTCAGCTTCAAAGTAACAAGGCTGGTGAGATTTAAAATAGAAGCAGGCAGCTCTTTAATTGTAGTGCCACCCAAATAAAGCCCAGATAGCTTTTTCATAACCTCTGAAATTTCTGGAAACTTCTCAAGCTTTGTGCATCTAGAAACATCAAGGTATTCAAGAGATTTCATGTGAGAAATGCTGCTTGGAAGACTCTCCAGTTCTCTGCAATCATTCAGATTCAAAGTAACAACACTGGTGAGATTTAAAATAGAAGCAGGCAGCTCCTTAATTCCAGTGCCACCCAAACAAAGCACAGATAGCTTCTTCATAACCTCTGAAATTTCTGGAAACTTCTCAAGCTTTGAGCATCCAGAAACATCAAGGCATTGAAGAGATTTCATGTGAGAAATGCTGCTTGGAAGACTCTCAAGTTCTCTGCAATCATTCAGATTCAAAGTAACAACACTGGTGAGATTCAAAATAGAAGCAGGCAGCTCCTTAATTGCAGTGTCACCCAAATAAAGCTCAGATAGATTATTCATAGCCTCTGAAATTTTTGGAAACTTCTCAAGACTTGAGCATTGAGAAGCATGGAGGCTTTTAAGAGATTTCAAGTGAGAAATACGCCTTGGAAGACTCTTAAACTTTTTGCAACCGTTTAGATTCAAGGTAACAAGCCTCGTAAGATTACAAATTGACGAGGGCAGTTCTTTAATTTCAGTATAATCTAAATAAAGCTCTGATAGATCCTGCATAACATCTGAAACTTCGGGAAACTTATCGAGGTTTTCGCACCATGAAAGTTTAAGGGTTCTAAGAGATTTCATAACAATCTTGCTTGGAAAAATCTTAAGATTTATGCAATATTCCAAATCCAAAAGAACCAGCTTTTTGAGAGATGAAATGGATGGGTGAACCTCAAATAAACTTGTACAACTTCGAAAAACTGCCTTCTCAAGATTTTTCGTCTCCGTGAAGTCAGGAGTTTTCTTCAGGTGAGGAGAACTTGTTAAGTTGATAATTTTCAAATTTTCCAGAGGCTGGTATAACACATCAAGGAAAACAAGGTATATGGTAAGGCATCTAAGAATTAAACCATTTAAAAGAAATATATGCAAGTGAAGTTTTTACCTTGGCTCCTTCCCAAAGATGTTCAATGAGACTATTTTGCATGTCAAGCTCAACAAGATTCTTCGCAATAAAATTGGACGGTAAAGACTTTAGGGGGAAATGCTTCCATATGAGACTTCTTAACTCATGCAGAACAAACCTTAAATTCTCACATGAATATCCATTGTCGCCGTGGATTTTGAGCAATCTTAATTTCGTCATTTTAACAAAAGCTTCGGAACTGAAGTATACCACTTTTGGTTTTGAGAATGAAAGGTCAAGGATTATGCTTTCAACAGCTTCCGTAGCCTGGATAACAAATAGTTCAAATTATGTGACTGTAGATATCCTGAATCTTATTTAACATTATAAAGTTAATGCATGTTTCTATGAATTGCATTTTGATCAAAGTTAAAGTTGTTTACTCTAAAGATTTACATATGAAAAAGAAGGTCATGAACATATCGCACCGTATTTTGAGTTAGCACATGATGAACATCTTCATAATTCCACAACCTACTGCGTTTCCCAGGCTCTTTAATAGATTCTTGGCGGACGATTTCCCGACCCATTTCCTCTAGTAAATCATGCATCTTCAGTGTTTCCCGTGAGACAGTTATAAGAGCTCGATCAATTAGAACTCTTAGCCCAGTATGGGGATAAAAGCCACAACTGTCCAGAACCTTTGTTGCGTTGTCTTTTTCCGCTCCTTTAAAGAAACATGCAATATCCAGAAATATGTTCTTCTCAGAATCATCTAGTCCATCGAAGCTTGTTCTTAACACATCATGAATTCCCCTTTGCGGGATTTTCTTTAATTTCTCTAGCATCTCCTCCCACTCCTGCACAGATTTATTATAAAGAAAAGCCCCCAAGACTTTAAGTGCTAAAGGGAGACCTTGAGCATATCGTACAGCACGGCTTGAGAGATGGTCATAGTCTCTTTTGGGTTGCTTTGTTCTAAAGGCATACTGGCTAAAGAGTTCCAAAGCTCCATCACCACTTAGAACCTTGGGGCTGTAGATTGTATCAGCTCGACTTAGTACTAGCTTATCTCTAGTGGTGAGAATGATTCTACTCCCACCACCAAATGAATGTTGCTTTCCAAGTAAGGTTTCAATTTGAAATAAGTCGTCAACATCATCAAGAACAATCAAAACCTTTTTCATCTGTAACCTTTTCAAAATCATTCTGTAACCTCGATCTAATGTGCCTAAACTCTGCACCTTTTCATTCAAGATTCTAGAGAGAAACTTTTCCTGCATATGTACGGCACCACAAGTGAACTCTTCCTTGACATTGTCAAGAAAGCAACAAGCTTCAAATTGACAAGCAATTTTCTCATAAACAGCTCTAGCTATGGTTGTTTTGCCAATACCACCCATACCCCATATTCCAACAACACGAACGTCGTCCATTTCAGGAGAGGGTTGTACTAGCAACTCCATTTCATGCATGCGGGAATCCATTTCAACCAAGTCATCGTCTTTACTTGATGAGGTGCGGATCAATTTCTGAAAAATATCTTCTACAATTTCCTCAATGAGCATGGCATCATCCCTGTGGAATAAGAAAAACATTATTGTAAGAGTAAGATCAAGTGCAAGTGCAAACCGTATACATAGTCATACATTTGCTAGGAAAACATGACAAAGAATTAAAACGAAACGTTAAAAGAAAAAAAAATCCCAAATTATGAAACTACTATAGCTAAAAATTACTCGTAATTTTTCGAATCCCAGCCGGATAAATTGGTGGCTCGAGTAAGAGCGGACCTCCAGCTCCGCACCTCTTCCATGTCGGCGTTAGAATGGCCTTCATGCTTGGCAAAAGCTTCCGCAAAGCTGCTCTCTGCTTTGCGGACATGAGAAGGATCCACATCGTAAAAAAGGGGCACCACTATCTGGTTCTTTCGATCCATACAATCCAGTATTTGGACGAGCTCCTTCAAGCACCATGTGGAAGAAGCATAATTTTGAGAAAAAACCACGATTGAAACGCGCGAATCTTGGATCGCCGTCAGTAGCTGCGAAAGGTCGTTGCCCTTTCGGAGCCCTTCGGCATCAATGAAGGTGTTGATTGCTTTCTGATTCAGGGCTTTGTAGAGGTGGCTGACGAAGCACCTGCGAGTGTCTTCCCCTCTGAAATTGAGGAACACGTCGTATTTCCAAGGAGAGCCAGAGGACGAAGAAGTTGCAGCAGCAGCCATTAATCGATCGAGTATCTAAGAGTAATGTAAGAACTGAAACACTCGATTGATCTTCACACTGATCTTCACACTGAGCTACAAAGGAAGTAATGAGTCAATGACGAGTAGATCACGCGTTTCTTCTCTAGCTGTTAAAGTCAATGAGTCGATGACGACCGGATCACGAGTTTCCCTAGCCGTATTTTATTAGTTAATTCAAATTGATACACACTACGATACCTTATTTTTTTGAGTAAATTGTACCAATGGTCCCTCAATTTTAATTAAATTGGAGAAATTGTCCCTCAACTAAAAATCCATTACCATTGGTCCCTCAACTTATCAAAATGGGTAGCTATAGTCATTTTCATCAATTTTGTCAAAATAAGCTATGTTGGAATGACCATTTATATAATTAGGGTTCCTTAACTTATCAAAGTGTATAATTATGGTTATTTTCGTCAACTATGTCAAAAAACTTGTCAAAACGAGTTATATTGGAATGACCATTGCTACAATTGGGTTAAAGTTAAAGGACTATTTCTCCACTTAAATTAAAGTTCATGGACCAATGGTAATGGATTTTTAGTTGAGGGACCATAGCTGCACGTTTTGATAAGTTGAGGGATCAAAAGTAATGAATTTTTAGTTGAGGGACCATTGCTCCAATTTGATTAAAGTTGAGGGACCATTTGTACAATTTACTCTATTTTTTTATTCAATTCTAGAATCCTGCCAGATACATTTAGCTCACAGTATATCTCATTGATTGGCTTCTCTGTCACAATTACATTGAAAGGAATAAACTTCAATTGCTTGGCATCACTTTCTTGCTGATCTGTCTCGCAATTGTTCATACCTATAGCAGAGTAAACCGCAATATCTTGATTACAACTTTCAATTTCTTTATAATTGTGATTTCATTGTATGCAATCGCTGTTATCTTAGCAGTCTAAAATATGGAATAAATTTTTCCATATAATAATGTTCGCATATGGACTTGAGAAACAACAAACCGCTGGCCGGGAATGTGGATGCAAATTTCTTCCTCCTCGATCTTGGACGATTTTGCACCTACAAAACAATTAACACCTTAGGTTAAGGCCAAGAGCCTCACGCGCCCACGATGAATGGGGGGGGGCTTTGGCCGAAGAACCTCCGATGCCAAAGTTAGAATTTAGAGAGAAAGAGTGTTTAGAGAATTTTGGGATTTTTGCCAAAGTGTTGGAATTAGCTTTTTGGTGAGAATGGGAGTATATTTATAGGGATAGGAGGTGGCTAGGGTTTTTAGGTTTAATTAGCCAATTTATTTGGCTATTAAACATAAAATGAATGTTTTGGTGGTTTTTTGTATAATTGGCTAATAAAAAGGAAGAAATGGTGGGAAAAGGTAGAAAAAAGGTAATGGATTAGGTTTTTCAATGGGATAGCCGGCCCTCTTGTGTGTTTTAGGTTTGAGTGGATGTTTCAAATTGACAATTAAGGGATTGATTAGGTAATTAATCCCTTAATTAGTCAATTATTATGATTTTATGAAATATGAAAGGAATAAGTATATTATTTAGCTAATTGATTAGCTAAATAATGAAATGGGAAATATATGAATAAATTAGGTTTTTAAGTTGATACATATTTTGGGCACTTTTGACTTGGTTGAAAAAAATGATTCTCTACTGCTCGCGTGTAGGAAACCCAGTATGCCTCGAGGGTATTTTTGTCCTCTTTTGTCCAAAAGTCCACGTGTCGCCTAGTGAATATTTTTGGCTCCACAAATGCCCCCACACCTGTTGGGCTGCTCGCAAAAAAGGGCAGCAGGTGTAGAGATCTTCTTGCTTTAGGAAACTTAAGACTGCTTCCTATTTTGATGTTGATTTCTCTCTTTAATAGGAAAATTAGATCCTTCTAGGAAAGGGAAATAAATTTCTCTCAAAGCCTATTTAAGTCCACCTTAAGTGGGTTATTAAATCAACTTTGGAGAGCGATTTATTCTACCCTACAAGAGAGAGATAGCTTAGAGGATATTTGTTCCCCCTCCTCTAGCAATCTTCTACATCTTGCCCGTGCAAAGGACCGTCTTTCGTTGCTTTCTTCGTCTTCTTCGTGCCGCACCGATGTAAGAAAAATTTAATTTTTCTTGCCTTATTCTTGGATAGTGCTATTGCGGGGCAGCCGTCGGGGTGGTGCGGCACATCGGCTGGCAGGGGCCAGGAGTTGGCTCGGCATGGGCCGAGGAGATGTTGTGGCAGGGACCACTGCTTGGGCAGCTTGGCTTGGCTTGAGCCAAAAGGCAGCTTGTGCAACTAGGGTCGCGGATTGTGGCGCTGGGGCGCAGTGCTAGGCGAGCCGCATGGCTCATGTCCTTTGGGCTCTTGGACCTGACTCGGGCTAGGCTGGTGATTGAGAGAAATAAGGAGATTGCGGGTCTCATGGGCTGCTGGAATGTTGGGCATGCAGGCCTCCTGCCTGTTGGAATGCTGGGTTGAGCTCCCCTGCTGAGTACCATGAATGTCGTTGGCTGCTTAGTCCTCTTTGCCGAAAGAAAGGTGGGCTGCTCCAGAAAGAAGAGGTAAAGAGGATCAAGGCGGATGCATTGGCTCGTCTGATCGCTGTCGTGGAGCTTACTATGAATGAAGATGGAAAGAAGAGATCTTCCCCGCCTGCTCATGAGATGCCAGTTAAGAAAAAACTGAAGACTTCTTCTGCTGCTCATGAGGGTCCGCTTGCTACCGAGAGGTATGTGATTGACATGATTTTCCAATGGGAAGAAATGTAAGGCTGCTAGATCTGAGCATGTGGCGTCTTCCATGTTGAGAATGGCTAGTACAATTGTGGATAAGATTACTCAGCGTAAAGGTTTTATCATGCCCCCAGTGCCGAAGTCTGTAGGACGTTCTTTGGGAGCCAAGTCCGGTTCACCTTTGTAGAGACTTGCTATTATGAAAAGTGGTAAGGTGGACTCTGCTGCTAAAGTGGCGCCAAAGCCTGCTCCCTTTGCTGCTGAGATTGATTCGCCTCAGATTCAAGATCTTAAGCTTGCAATTTATGAGCTTCGTTTCGCTACTTATGCTAAGAAGAAAGTGGATGAGCTTCTCTATTTCTCCGGAAGACTTGCTTGCTTTTACTTTTAAGGCTTCCATTGGTGAAGTAGTTGGAGAAGTTAGTGCCCAGACTGGGGCAGCCGGGGGTGAAGCGCCGGATGATGCCGCTGCTAAGAGCGTTACGGCTGTTGAAGGTGTGGCGACCGAGTAGTCGTGGAATGTCCAAGCTGCTAGTGTAGTATTTTAGGTAGCCTTTAGGATTTTCTTTGTTTTTCCTTGTAGCTTTTGTTTTGCTTGAACTCCTTCAACCTTTGCTAGTTGTTTATAAACATGTTTTCCTTCGTTTTTCTTCATCTTCACTTCTTTTGTTCATGCCCTAACATTTAGACTTGATAGACCAGTGGCAGGCATGCTACTTTTTTATAAGCAGACAAACTCGCGTAGCCTATGCAGCCGTAGGTGTTGGTGTAGAACTTTGCAAAGTTGTTAGCCATAGGGTTGGCAGCCGGATGCCTTACTTACAGAGAAGCAGACAAGTCCGCGTAACCACTAGGCTGTTAACTTTGACTTTCTTCAATTCCGTAGGTTGCGTAGCAAGTATCACACACACTTTAGGACTTGGTGTAGGTTGTTCCGCGCTTGGCAGGGGTGAAGCTTATCGACTACGTAGCATGTCGGCAGTGGATAAAACTTCATATATGCGCGCTAGCTTGTCTAACCTTTCACAAGAATGTGCGGTTGTATAAGTCTAGTGCGGCTTCACTGCTCGAAGGGCAAGCCGTAGGCAGTCTTCCGGAATCCGTAGGCTACCTTAGTGCACTCGGTAGCAGCTTTAGGATTCCAGGGCAGCCGTCCATCGGATATACTGCGTAATGTGCCCTCTCCGTCTCTAGGGCCCGGTTCCCCACGGATTAGGCCAAGAGACCCAAAATCCTTCAGTTAGCTAAACCTTGAAAAAGACCATTGCGGCTACTTCTAGGAATCCCGGCGCAAGCCATCGTGCATCTAGTTATACTAGGGCAGCCAGGCTCATCCACGTCTGGATATTCGGAGTGTAAAGTTTATCCTCCCGTCTTGGAGAGCTGACCCATATGGGTGTCGGAGAATTGGTTTACCCTCTCACACTGGAGAGCATGGTTGGTCCCTCGGGGGGCGCAATTCCTGCGATGAGTCCCTAAGAAGGGTGCAGTCTTCTTTTGAAGTGCAAGAGTGATTAATTGTTGTAAGCATGCAGCCAAGCCAAGTTGTGATTACTTCTAAATTCCTCATTGAAAAACGAGTGAAACGAACGAGAACTTTAGCTGTAAGGTAGGAACTGCATAACAACTGGATAATCCTCAGCTTGTGAGGTGGTGCCCGTCGAGCTTATTGAGTTTTCGGGTTTTGATGTAGCGGGAGGTCACACATGGTACTTCTTCAGATTGTAGGCCATCCATTTTTTTTTCAATCTTTTTACCGCTTCATGGTGGTGAGGGTGTAATTACTCTAGCCCCCTACTCTGCTGATCTTGTACGGACCTTCCCAGATGGGATCCATCTTTTTGGAGCCTTCTCTGCCGGCAGTGATGAAGGTTTTTCTGCGCCGTCGACATGCAAATGCCAGAAGTCTCCATCGGGTGGAGTATGCGCAGCTAGAGTGTGCTCGGCTACTTCTGAGGCATCGTTGAGCCGCTCTGTTGCGTCACCTAGGCTCGGCGTGAAGGCGCAGTAGGGAGCTGTGGAGATGGGGCCATGTCATACGCAACAGGAGATGCTCAACTGCCGGTATTGGGCCACTCTAGAGTTGAATCATTGAGCAAGGGTCGGCTAGGGCCGTATGATGCGCAGCAAGAAATGGTACTCAACTGCCGGTACATGTTGCTCCTATGTAGAATCTTTCAGGGTGACGAGGACAAAACTTGCTTTCAAGTGTGTCTTTCCAGTGTTGCGTTCGTCAGAAAACTTTACATCCGCCAGGGTCTACGCCTTTATCGTCGCGCGTCTGGATTGGGCAGAATAGTACGTCATTAGGATGATTGCATGCGTTTGAAAGTAAAATTTGTGCTTCTAGGTTGCAACAACTATCGCCAAAGTTAACTTTTGAATTTTTAATAACATCGAGG